ATGTTGTAGAATTCTGTGGTTTACACAAAACATCTAATATTCAGACCTCCTAGAAGTGAAGTTTCCAAGACGGACTCAGTGGAAGACATGGGAGAAAGGTTGCAAGTCTTTTCTTACTAGATATCTCCCATTTTTCTTAATTAAAGTATTACGCTAAGCACCTAACCAACGTTAGCTAAATGAATTTGTTTTTGTGTATAGATCAAGCCCCAGGCAGTTTTATTGCTCAAATATCTGCCATTTACGAGTTAAATCACTTTTGTTTCTGTTTATGCAGCCATATCCACACTTCCCATGGCAGGGACTCACTCATGTAAAAATGTTTAGTTTTCAATAAGATGTGACAGCACAGTGTGTTTACTTTAGAAGTTTTTATTTCCGGTTCTGTTAATTGAACTTTAAACACACAGGAGGCTACTGCAGGCTTTTAATGGAGCAGGGGATACAACATTCTAAATTACATAGACTGTGCAATAAAAGAAGTTTAAACATTAGATCTATCTTTACAGGAAAAGTGTAAGGAGGCTGTGTAGGTCACATAAAGGGGAGGGGCTGAACAAATAAAAAGCAGAAAATTGAGCAGTTAGACTGCAGGGGCATGATCTATACACCAAAACTGCTTCATTAAACTAAATGTGTGTTGGTGCTTATGGTGTCCCTTTAGCTTTTGTTTCTTTCTGGTGATACAGTCACTCAGCATGTGAATCAGATTTCCCAGTAACCTGACTAATGAAAAAGGCAAATCTAAAATGAAGCAACTCTTCAAATCCTTCTAGTATGTCCTGGCATTGGCTTTGAAAGATTACTACAATTAAAAAATGATAATAATAAATAATGATTTTTTTTTACTATTTTGACTAAACCTTCAATAGATTAGACTTGTACACAATCCATAAATATGTCTAATAAACATAATGCGTTTTTTGTTTTTTTTCCATACCACCAACAATTTACACAGTAGCGCAGTTACTTGATATGCTTACACGGTTCAATGCTTAAACGTGATATGCCTTAAATCAAGGGCCTGCCTGCAATCTTATAGTAGGAAACACATTACAAGGCAGAGAGCTTGCACTGTGAATCGATTTCCTTTGGTGGCTATTTATATATTTCATAGTTTACTTCTTGGAAAATTACATTGTATGAAAAATTGTGCCTGCATTTCTGAAATAGTGCAATTTGGAATGAATGGATACTTAATTTGTTCTTGTTGATTGTATTTAGAAAATATTGCATATACTTTTGTACTGTTTGGAAACGACAGTCAGTGTTTCTCCCTACTCTATAGGCAGGAGACTGTCTCTGCAGCCTCAGCAGTGTAAAAACTGCCATTTCTGGGAAAAGGCAGTGTTTACACTGCTGCTTAAAGCCACCTTCAGTGTTTGTCACTCAGAAAGCCACAAGAGGGGGGCTTCCTGCGTCCAGTCTTGCAAAGGCTAGAGAACCAAGTCCCTACATTTTTTTATGTTTTAAAGAAAACTAGATCAGAAATAAATAAAAGACCCTGGATCGTACATTGCATCAGGAGCAACCATTTATCACCCATAGGAGCAGGCATTAACTACTATCACAGAAACCTCGGCCCTGGAGCCTTGCATACTGCAACATTTACAGAAGGATTATCTACAGAAAGTGCTCCAGCTCTACCCCAACTACATATATGGGTGAGATCTAACTAATGACTATGCATATACAATGCCTATTATTGACTTCCAGAGTGTGCACACACTAAGACTGTAAATACATTTTTTGATTCAATTTTTTATTGTTTTTTCCTTTTTTTAAATTTTTTCAACTGGCAAGAAGCCTCACTCATATGGTTCCCTGGTGCAAAGTGCAATTAGAAACTAGAACTATTGACTGGGTCGGACTTGTTTGGGTCGCTTTATCATATTGTGGTGTATCATTAACAACGTGTGTTAGGAACAAGATAAGTTAACCATTCAGCATTTTCACATTCCTTTGACTATATCATGCAAATTATGTTAACTACTACCACTATTCAGTGTAAATAAGCACCAAGGATAGCCACGGTGGTTATGGTGGGATGTGGTATTGATAACGGATTGTATTAAACTACATGGATTTAACGGATTATCTGTTTTCTGGTATGGCAATAAATTCTCTGAACTAGTACTTATCTAGTGTTGAAGCGTGTACTTATATGGATGTATTTAGTATTTTTGGAGTGCAGTATCATATCTGTATGGATATTTTTTGAGGTACTCGAAGTGGGCTACCTAGATACTTAGCACCTATTTGGATAGAAGAGTGCATGTACACTTCTTTGTATTCTAAAGAAAAGAAGAACAGATTTTGAGAGAGGGAGAGAAGAGTATACAATAGGACAGGGTTAGGCAACCTTCGGCACTCCAGATGTTTTGGACTACATCTCCCACAATGCACTTCTAGATATAGTGCTGGCAAAGCATCATGGGAGGTGTAGTCCAAAACATCTGCAGTGCCGAAGGTTGCCTATCCCTGCAATAGGAGAAAGGTAAGTTCAGCATGACAGTGCCGCTTTAAGTTCTTTGGGGCCTATAATAAAGATAGGTAGGCTAACACTACAGCGTTAGGAAAACATGTTTATCTTCAAAACGCGATAGCATTCCTTTAAATAGCTTATAAGCCCGCAGACTAGACCGAAATCAGATGCCAAGTGGCTGACACAATTTTTTTTTTTTTTAATGCTTTATTTTTGCTTGCACAATGGAAAACAAAAACTCGTACAACGAAATCCACAACACTCCACGTTACAAACACAGATTTCAAACTTATACATTACAATGGGTATGAGGGGCATGTAACATACCGTGCACATATTTACACCCTCCCAGAATACCAGGTTTTGTACAAAAGTAGTTGCGTGATCATTAGTAACCGGCCAGGCACTGCATCTCAGGGCTCCTGGTCAGCATTGAGCTTAGACTATGCTTGTTATGTCTTGTTTAGAATAGGCTGCTTATCTGTCTGGGCAGGCCTTACGTGGGGAGGCTTTGTGCCTCCACCTGCCCGAGTGACGTATTGGAGTTCCATTATCCTGTCCCTATTGTATCGAGAGCCTCTGTGCCCCACCCCCATCCCTTCATTTCTCTTTATGTTTCGTTCCCTCTCCTGCTGTTTGTTAATCATGTTGCTTTAAAACCTGGAGCATAGGTCTCCGATATAGTACAGGAACCTTCCATAGCACTGAGGAGTGCCGGTATCACTCATAGGCCTGTGCATAGTGTTCGTAGTATTTTATTAATCTCAGCCTACCGTTGTCCCAGATTACCCTCCATGTGCGCCCCTGGGATTGCAGTGTCGTATTGGTCCAAAACTACCAACTTCATATTGGCATCTATCATCGATATACATTCTCATTGTACGGCTATGAATTTTAACTGTGTTCCGGGAGTGCTGGTGTGCATAGTGATGAATGCAGACGAGGGCCTGCAAATAGAATAAAATATAGAGAAGAGCAGTAAAGGAGAGAACTATAGAAGAAGAATAGAAAAAGAATAGAAGAAGAGGGGTCGCCGGGGGGGAGGGGAGCACTGGGAGGGGAGAGAGCAAAGAGGCCGACGGGAGAGCCTATGTGCCCATAGGGCTACTGTCCCATGGTTCCTAAAGCTTGAGGAATGCCTTAGTGGAACCCCTCACCCTAGCTGTCAGGTCCTCCATCAGACGAATCTCTTTAATCCGATTTAGTACGCTTGCAATGTGTGGCAATTCCTGTTTTAGCCATGTGTATGCTACAGCACTTCGTGCCGCTAATGTGATTTTGGGTAACAGCAGTTGTTCCGGCTGACACAAATTTTAACATATTAATGCACCCTGTAATGAGAGACAATATCTAGCATACCCGCTTACTGACAAGTATTTCATTTTTATTTTTTTAATTATATTTATCGAATATAATAAAAATGAAATCAAATATGGGTCTGCAAACAGACAAGGTCACACAGAACAGATATGGTAAGGTAAA